AGTAAAAAATCCCTTGACTTTGACATCTATCATTGCTCATTTAAAGTTAAAGAAAAAAACAAACAAACTGGGGCACCTAGGTGGCTGAGTTCGTTGACCAGCCAACTTTGGCTCAGGTCATGATCTCATGGTTTGTGGGTTCAAGCCCTGCCTCAGGCTCTGTGCTGACAGCTCAGAGCATGGAGTCTTCAGATTCCCTGTCTCCCTCTCTCTCTGCCCTTCCCCCGCTCTGTCTGTCTCTCTGTCTCTTTCTCTAAAATTTAAAAAACAAAATTCATGCTCTTAACTATGTCACAAAATTGACCACAGTACAAGCTATCTACTGGTAGACGTTTAAAAGAGGTCCACATGTTCAGAGAGCCTTTGGCTCATGTACTTCTTGTTAAGCCACTCGAGTTTCACCTGCCCCAGCATTTTTCCTACCTAGTTGGAGCAAACCATCCTCTCTGGGCTCCCATCCCAAGTCCAAGTTAAAATGTCCTAAACTCCTGCAGCTGCCAAGTAGTATTTCCCAGTTATGACTCCCAACTCTGAGGTTATTTCCCCCAATGCTCTCTCCAGTAACTACCAACCTAACATGTTTTTTGCTTTTTTTTTTTTTTTTTTTACAATTTCTTCTCTTCCCTCCCCACCCCCCTCCAAAACCTGGATTCTATTTTTGTTTGACAACTGGGACCCAAACCAAGTTCTCTTACTTATGCTCTAGGAACGCTTTTCATTATCCATTAGCTCTAAACAAGAACCCAAAGAACACCGTCAGCACAGAAGTGCTAAGTCAAATCAAGTCACTGAGAAAGAGGAGCAGGTAAGCACAGTGCATGATCAGGGGAGGCCCTTCCTCCACAGCTACCGCCACCACTCATACTCAGACCGACACAAATGCCTGAACAGAACACCCTATCATCATCATCATCATCATCATCATCAAAATTAGGGGAAGTACACAATGAGCAAATGTTTATTTAGCAAGTTCCTCAATCTGGGAAACAGAGAATATTTTTCAGTTTTGTTTTGTTTGGCACTGATCCTATTTGTCTCCGAGAGCTCCGCGTCACTCAATGCACGTACCGAAAATCAGAGATAATTGCATTAATGTAACAGTCACTTACTTTCACAAAGGAAATTCTGTGAACCTGAAGCGTTTTTGCAAGGTAGGTTATGGGAACCATTCCAACTGTGTCAACAGTCTTCAGTTGGGCTGGAACAGTGATTTCACATCCAAATTGTAACTCTGAAAAGCAATTTATGGTAATAAGTAGGAAATTCTACAATTAGAACTGGCAGAAGTAATTCATTCTGGTAGGATTCTATGGTAACCTCCGTTTGGCGTGGCTGGAATAGCTTTAAAGACAACACCCTTGGGGGAGGGGGGGACCTGGAGGGCTCAGTTGGTTAAGCCATCGTCTCTTGATTTAGTAGAGGTCATAATCCCACAGTTCCGTTCCCAAGATCGGGCCCCAATCAGGCCCCGCGCTGACGGCATGGAGCCTGCATGGGATTCTCTCGCACGCTCTCTCAAAAAAATAAATTTTTTAAAAAAATTTTTTAACGTGTTTTATTTTTATTTTTGAGACAGAGACAGAGCATGAATGGGGGAGGGTCAGAGAGAGGGAGACACAGAATCTGAAACAGGCTCCAGGCTCTGAGCCGTCAGCACAGAGCCCGACGCGGGGCTCGAACTCACGGACCGTGAGATCATGACCTGAGCCGAAGTCGGCCGCTTAACCGACTGAGCCACCCAGGCGCCCCTAAATTAATTTTTTAAAAAATCCAAAGTTTTAAAGGCAACACCTCTGCAACAAGTTTGCCGTCAAGCCTGATGTGGTCTTGGGGACCACGGACTCAAGGAGAAGGGCTGGGAACACCAGAAAATGGTTTCCGCCCAGTTTTCTCAGTAACTTTTAACTTGTTGCCCAAGAGCGAGTAGTGTCCTCAAGGGACGTGTCAATCCGCTTCTGGGAAGATGGGTCTCGCCTTTACACGTGGAAAAGGGATTTCGGAGGAAACAGAAGTCCTCCAGAATGGAGAACTTTCTCCTCCGCCCTCCACCCACCTCCGCCAAACACAAGAAGCCTCTAGAAAAGGACTGATTGATTGACTGACTTTACTTACTTTACTCGCTTATTTATTTTTACCTGTTCAGAGGGGGCCAGAGGAAAATTTAGCGAGTCTTTTGGTTCCACGTTAAGATGGAAAGAATGAAGGGGCAAGACTCCCTGCCCCAAGTTTGAATGTGACCTTGCCTGGAAGACCGCTATATCTGCCCCTCAAGGACCCCGCCATCTTGAACTCCCCTCGGCGTGCGACAAAAAGAGTCCCGGGTTGCCTCCCCTAAAGCCTGGTTTCTCAAGGGCTCCAGCCAGGGGGCTTACCACGCACGTCCTCAGGGTCGACCGGCCCGAATCCTCCCGGAGAGAACCCGCAGCCCGGACGCCAGAAACGGAAACACCCGCGCCCGCATCCTCATTGGCTCCTGGGGGCCGGAAGTGTATGCGTCTGGCGGAAGTGCTCCTACTGCGAGCGTCCGCCGGGTCCGGACCCTCAGGTAGGCGGGGCCCCTGGCTCCCAGCTTTGGGACCGATGCGGTGGCGGAGGCGCCGAGGGGGCGCCGAGGGGACCCCGAGGGCCCCGGGAGGTTGTTCGGTTTCTGGTCTGGGGGGAGCCGGAAGAGTTTCGGGGGCGGGGGTTCCCGGCGACCCCTGCTGGCAGGTGGGGCCTAGTCGAGCCTGGCCGCCGCAGGACCCAAGTGCGGGAGCTTCAAGCTCCCCCGTGGGGACGGGATTTGGGGCTGTGGCCGGAGCTGCTCCCCGACGCGTCCGGATGGTTGAGGTCCCGAAGCTGCTCACGTCCAGCGGGGAAAATGTGTGCCCTCCGCCCTTATCTTTTCCATGCTTCTGGGTTTGACGGCTTCCCCCCAGGCGTGCGGGGGTGCCGGGCTTTCCTCAGTGACGCCCGCGACCTCTCTAGGGAATGTCTCAGAAAGGCCGCCAGAGGCACAGTGGAGGGAGAAAACGGGTTCCCTCCCTCCCTTGCCCCGCTCTCCTCCTCCCCATGGTGTCTTCCTGAAACGGGAAGGGTGTGTTTCGAGCGCAGGCTGCTCAAGTGGAAGTTACCTGGACTGCTTTAGGTCAAGTTTATGTCAAGTAAATGAAACTACTTGATGATGGTTTCCTATTCCTCAGCCGACTCCACCTCCAAGTGGTTTGAACTTTGAGCTTCTTGTAGCCCCGATGAACAATTTGGCTTTCGTCAAGTTTGTGACACTTGGAACTTCAACAGTTGGAGGTTTATGCACTTTGGGACCGGGCCACACTGTGCGGAGTTCAAAGTGCTAGGAGGCCAGGTGAGCGCGAAACGAGCATCTTCCGCTCCAGATTGCGGTTTTTGAGCGCCCTTTTCGGCAGTTTTGTGAAAGGTGCACCGCCTTTATTGACTACTAGGTGGTGCCAGCGAGTTCATCTTTCTGGATAAATTTCAAATAATGAGCAGTGCCAGGATGCGGCTTTTGAAGTGCCCCATCTTCCCTGAAATTTACTTAAAATAGTTTTACCTCTTTACAATAGCTGGTGCCCTTATACACTTTATCCAGTTATTGAATATCTATTCTCTACTAAGTGCTGAGGATGCTAAAAGAGGAATCAAATTCATTTTCTCCTGAGAGTTCATAGTCTGAAGAGAAAGGCCAATAATCAATGTGCTCTAATGAAAGCACATATAACTTAAGGCAGAAATAAGTGCTAAGAAGAGAATAAGATGTGAGATGCAATGGAAGAAGCAGTCATTATTCATTTACCAATTATGTATCCAGACCTTCTGTCTGCCCAACGTTATTGTAGCTGCTGATGTATAAAGAAGTAAAGGGGCGCCTGGGTGGTTCAGTTCGTTGACCTTCCGCTCAGGTCATGATCTCACGTTTGGTGAGTTTAAGCCCCTGGTGAGAATTTGAGCTGGCAGTGCAGAGCCTGCTTTGAATTCTCTGTCTCTCTCTGTCCCTCCCCTGCTCGTTCTTTTTTTTTTTTTT